TTGCACAGAGCCTAAATCTTTACGCAAATTCAGCTCAATTAGTTCTCTATGCATGCATGAAACAACAGTTTCAACAATAAGGCAAACAAAAAAATGGCAACAACTCGGAAACTGGTGGTAGAAGTAGTAGACGCAAAGGATCTTACACCTAAGGACGGTCATGGAACGTCAAGTCCGTACGTTATCGTCGACTATTACGGCCAGAGACGACGGACTCGAACCATAGTCCGTGACTTAAACCCTGTTTGGAACGAGACGCTCGAGTTCAGTCTTGCAAAGCGACCTTCTCATCAGGTCTTTACCGATGTTCTTGAGATCGACATGTACCATGACAAGAACTTTGGTCCCACCCGGAGGAACAATTTTCTCGGTAGGATCCGACTCGGGTCGGATCAGTTTGTTGGTAAAGGAGAGGAGGCTTTGATATATTATCCTTTGGAGAAGAAGAGTTTGTTAAATCTTGTGCAAGGTGAGATTGGGATTAGGATTTATTATGCTGATGAGGCGCCTCCGGCTTCAAAACCGGCAGTAACTCCTCTTGAACCGGTGGTAGAGGAAAAGGCGGAGGAGTTGGCGGCGGGAGGACCAGAGAAGTCGACGGTTGAAGGTTCAAACGAGTCTCAGCCACCACTCGAGACAAATGACGGTCCAGCTCAAGTGAAAAAAACAGAGGAACCACCGCAACCGCCACTACCGGAGAATTCGCCATCCGAGGGTCCCAAACCAAAGGAGGAGGCTTCACCTGCGTCACAAGATCATGCTACGGCTGGTGGAGAGGATCAAGCGGCGCCTGAACCGAATCTGCCACAGAATGAAACGGAGGCAACCCCGAAAGAGCCACCACAGGTTCAACCAGACGGTGAAGATATTGTTCTAGAGTCCGGAGATGCGGCGAATTGGGTTTCGCCGCCGCGATCACCGGAAGTCACCATTTCAAGATCTGTATCCGGTTCCATACCAGAAACTAAAATGGGAGGAATCTCGGGACCGCAACCACTTCGTAGAAGCGTATCAGAAACAACGAGTTACACCTCAGAGATCTCCGACGTATCGACGATCGAACGATCCTCGTTTGATCTTGTTGAGAAAATGCATTACGTCTTCGTCCGCGTCGTGAAAGCTCGGTCGCTACCAACTTCCGGGAGTCCGATTACAAAGATCTCACTCTCCGGCACAATGATCCAATCAAAACCCGCTAGAAAAACCTCTTGCTTCGAGTGGGATCAAACCTTCGCCTTCCTCCGCGATTCGCCGGATTTATCCTCTTCCCCGATTCTGGAGATCTCCGTGTGGGAATCCCCGACGGGACTCGACACTAGCCACTTCCTCGGCGGAATTTGCTTCGACGTGTCGGAGATTCCGCTCCGAGATCCGCCGGATAGTCCATTAGCTCCGCAATGGTACCGTCTCGAAGGAGGTGGAGCTCACCACGGCGATCTTATGCTTGCCACGTGGACAGGAACACAAGCAGACGAATCATTCCCCGACGCGTGGAAGACTGACACCGCCGGAAACGTAACGGCTCGAGCCAAAGTCTACATGTCACCGAAGCTATGGTATCTACGCGCCACCGTGATCGAAGCCCAAGATTTATTACCGCCTCAGTTAACGGCGTTTAAGGAGGCTTCGTTTCAATTAAAAGCCCAGTTAGGTTTCCAAGTGCAGAAGACCAAATCCGCCGTTACACGTAACGGCGCACCGTCATGGAACGAAGATCTACTCTTCGTAGCCGCCGAGCCATTCGCCGATCAGCTGGTTTTCACCTTGGAGTATCGAACATCGAAAGGTCCGGTCACCGTCGGGATGGCGCGTGTGCCGCTCAGCACAATCGAGAGGCGCGTCGATGAGCGTTTGGTTGCCTCGAGGTGGTTCGGATTCGAAGATCCAAACGACGAGAAGAGAGGAAATAGATCTAGAGTACACCTGAGGCTCTGTTTCGACGGTGGTTATCACGTGATGGACGAGGCGGCGCACGTGTGCAGCGATTACCGACCAACGGCGAGACAGCTATGGAAACCGGCGGTTGGAATCGTCGAGCTCGGTGTAATCGGTTGCAAGAATCTGTTGCCGATGAAGACGGTGAACGGAAAAGGATCGACGGACGCGTACACGGTGGCGAAATACGGAACCAAATGGGTCCGTACCCGAACCGTATCGGATTCTCTAGATCCGAAATGGAACGAACAGTACACGTGGAAAGTATACGATCCGTGTACGGTTCTTACCATAGGAGTCTTCGATAGCTGGGGAGTATACGAAATCGACGGTGGAAAAGAAGCCACGCGTGAAGATCTGAGAATCGGGAAAG